TCTGAATGACTTCTCAAACGGCTTCACTTGGGCAATAATATGAATTTATATGGGAGTACCATTTGCAGGATGTTCTCTTTTCATTCTGGTATCGTGTCTCAATGGATTTCAGAGTGAGTCGACGATTCAAAAAATTTCTCTGAGGACAATTCCCCGTCATTTTAAGATCTGTAGATGCCTGAAATCATTTAAAATCCCCAAAATTCAATTATACAATTATTTTTCTAATAGGTACCTTACATTTTTGTATTTTTGTATATTTTTAAAACAACTATGCATATTGAAATGTAATATCAGATATAAAACCACTAAAAGGTATTAACACATTAGTGTTAGGTGAATGTACGGTTGTTCTAGCAAGACGGGACATATCCTACAGATATCACGCCTGTAGTACCTATCATATCAGTATCAGCGATGAGCCTAATGACTGTACCAGGGAAGTTTTTCAGGTGTCAGGGATCCCATGACGGGGTACGAGTGGCACTTGTCGCTCGGCATAAGTAAACCTATGATGAGCCTCAGGGTAAGGTGGGGACGGTGGCTCGTCTCGTGAAGAAGCGAAACGAGCCACCTTCAGTCTGGAGATGGTTACTCTCCTTTTGGAGTGTTTGCTTATTGTCGTTTTTATGCTCCACTGAATTCAATTTGTTACACTTTAAGTATAAGTACCATATGAATAGGTAATATGAACGGCGTTCGCCAACTTGTTCCCCCTAATCCCTCAACTTTACACTTTGGAGCGTAACGACTCGTTCAAGCAGACTTCATGAGTGATGTGACTAAGCTATGACGATCTGAGAACCTCGTCATTAGCACACTCACGTCACTTGGAACACTCCAAACTTCAAGCGTTTAGATCAGACCTTCCCGTGTGTCATAACTATTCTCCTTCCAGACGAGTTTCCTTCCTTCTCCACCTATTGCTCCGAATTTCGGGTTCTCAGGGATCGAAACTGAAAGATCTTATGGTGGAAATATTGTTGACACTTTTTCTGCACATTCTCTTATCTATGACATTTTCTCAATCATCAAGCAAACATTCTCGGGGTGGTCTCACACCTGATTACGCGATTACGATATTTGAGAGGCGAAAAACGTTGCCATTCGTTGTTTACGTTTCTCAGGGGCAAGACCTGTCTGCCTGTCTGTCCGCTGTGTGATTGTCGTTGCTGACGAACTCAAGGGGACACCTGTCCTTTACGCATTCGATTTCTGCTCAACCTCACTCTTCACCCATCACCCTTGTTATCACTGTTTTCCATTGAAGAGCCCTGATCCGGACAGTTCAGCTCAGCGATTGGTGATGATTCCTAGTAGGAAAGCGGTCCTACTGCTTTTATTTCTACTATTTTGGCTTATTTTTTATTTTTCACTTTTTGACTGTTTGCAAGACTAGCAAGATAGAACTTCAGCAAATCCCATTAAGGGAGAGGAAGAACTTTTTTCGGATATGAGGGGAAGGTGGCATTCGGTAAAGATGGTTCACGATTAGGAGGTACTAGAATAGTGCCAAGTAATTCCCTACCAAACCCATCGTGCTGGTACCGACTCCTGATTGATACGCGCCCAGGCTTGATGAACCACCGATCCTTCCTGCGTTAGTTAGTTTTCCCTGGACTCATATGGGAGGCTAGAATCATAGAATTGTACAGTGGTATGGTCGTTGTATAGGCCACATGCGCATTCAAACTCTACCACAACTCGGGATAAAAGTCTAGTGCACGGCGGAACAGGACAGCTCCATGTGTTCATCTCCAAATTTATGATTGTAACCACATGGTGCTTATGGGGGAAATGGGGCGGAAGGGGCAGGATGGGGCGTGGTCTGAAAGGTCGTGCTCTCGCATCCAAATTCGGAGAGGAGAACGATTATAGCATTTGTGAATTCCCATAGCCAGGCTCAATCTAGATGAGACCTTCCGTTGCTGGGTGGTCCTGATGGCATTGTGTTGAACGGCCAGCTGATGTTATCTCCTGCTTATTGATTTTTTGATATTATGAGCGCTGAACAGTTAGACACATGTGACACACAACAAACCCTAGAACATCCATGACCGCGAGCAACAACCATTCAATCATTACTACTATCATTGCACTACCACTGGTACTAGTATCACCCTGTAAAAGGCAATTTTGGGACCAAAATCGCGCTGGGGCCTCATTCAATTTGTTGACTGGGAAAACAGGCTTCCTGTAGCGCAAGAAAGGTCACGGTATGACTCTCCCAGATATTCCTTCATGCAGCCGCAGCCCTGCTTCATTTTCTTATTTCTCCCTTTTTCTTCCGTCTGTCTTTTTCACTTTTTTCCATCTGCAACTTATATAACTTTCTCTTTTTTTCAAAATTTTCTGCTTTTTTTGATAGTTGGAATAGAGCCGTTGCTATTAGATTCTTGCTTTTGTCCCACACCCTCAGACTTACTCGTCGACTAGTCCTTCTTACTTGAAGTCTTCCGATCTCTTAGATGTTACTTACTGGTACTGTGGCGCTATCGACGATTAGGATTCGGCTGAGTTGCAGTGTTTTTGATCAAAAGCTATTACTGTACTGTACAGTAATATTGTCACTTATTTGCAATCCCAAACTCTAGAGAACTAATTTTTTTTTTTTGAAATATTCCGAGTCTCCCGTATATTGGCATTGTGATTTATACTGTAAAGATTACTTTAATCCGATTTTCGTGGTCGTTTCACTCTTTGAGATTCAATTTTGTTCCAAAATGTCAGAAGAGTGAACTAGAATGATACATATTAAAGGTTGTGTATTGCTCAGAAAAGTTGCGTCGATGCGACAATGTAGGATGTAAAACTGGTTCCATGTTTTGGTGGGTGATACAATTGAGTGCTAAGGGTGAATGTACTGGGTACTCGGGACTTGAACAAATAGGCTCTGATTGATTCTTTCTACCCTCGGGAGAATACTCAGCTGGATTTTTCCTTTTTCGCATTCTCAAGAAAGAGCAGCTATAGCAAGAAAGCTGATCGTATCACGACAGCGACTGACCGTTTTTAAGCTTCAGCAAGCCACAGATCTTTTGCTGAAGACCACATGATGCCTTTGAAGACCTTTTCACTGCTCTGGGTCCTTTTTTGCGGTGTGTTGTCGTCTTGTTCGCACCCTTATCGGCATTTTTAGTAGAGCTAAACACTGACCTGCGTCATCTCAATTAAATGACTACTTTAATAGCATTTTCTGAAAAGTCAGCATTGATTTCGTCTCTACGGCAAGAAAAACTTGGCGTTTGCCGATCTAGGTCCCTTCAAGCCCACCTCCTCCTATCTTGAGTGTATTCTCGAGCTTTCTGATGGTTTTCTCTCCGCCATCAATTCTTGCATAACTTTTAACTTGTAAAGTTTGTGGAAAGCAAATTCCAGGTTGGACTGGAATGTAGCGCTCCGATCGTAATTAGGAGACGATTTCTAAAGAAGTTGGCAATCCATTTGTTCAATCCAGTAGTTGGGGAGGAAGAGGAAGGAAAGGAGGAGGGGATGACCTTGTGACAGAAGCCCTGACGGTATTTATGTATTCCTCCTCTGACTTGCTACTTTTAGCCATTTGCACCTACTTGGGAAGCCCACTTTTCAAGAATATAAGCTCTTCCAGTATGTTCTACAGAGAAGTCTCATCAATCTCAACGTTACTATTCTGGTCTTCAAAATTTCCTATCGCACCCTCGAGATTAATACCAACTCTGATGACTAATTTTTCGAAAATACAATCCCCTCGGAACCCGTGTGGGCAACTCTGACCCCTTGACTCTGAAGTTGAACATTTCCGAAATGCCAGTCCACAATGTTTATAATCCAGGCTGGGACCGGAAAAAAAATGTTCTGGCAACGATTCCTTCTCGTTTTCCCTATTGCTGACATGATCTTCCACCAAAATTTCCCCTGTAATACTCACGTCATCTTTCTGTCATTTCAATCATCGAACGCGTGTTGTTTTTTCCATCTTCTTGTCCGCTGAGATCATTTGTACAACGTCCATCAACACTGTCATCCATTCGCTATNTCTCGTTTTCCCTATTGCTGACATGATCTTCCACCAAAATTTCCCCTGTAATACTCACGTCATCTTTCTGTCATTTCAATCATCGAACGCGTTTTGTTTTTCCTTCATCTTGTCCGCTGAGATCATTTGTACAACGTCCATCAACACTGTCATCCATTCGCTATGTTTAGATACCAGTTCGTCATGCAATAAACACTGTTGCCGATCCATCTATCGAATGTATTTCATCTAAAGAATTTGTGAACGATGAGTAAAATCAGTCGAACCGAACAGAAATATCGTTTCGGCTGGCAAGTCTTCATTCGTCTACTCACACTCGTTCCTTTACTATTCGCCCGAATACGATTCACTGTACTGTTCACCGTTCTAACACTTGCGTGTGCCATCGGAAGTAAGACATTCGACTTTTGCTTTCATTTCATAGCCGATATTGACTTTTACCTTTCAAAACTATTCTGCTGGTTTATAACGCCCGATTTAGGCCAGGTGAGTAGTTAGTAAACGACTCCGAAGTTAACATTGGCGTAAACTATCAGATTAAAACACATCAGAATAGAAAGTTGCTATTTCCCAGTGCACTTTTGTTGTTGTGTTGGTTGCTCTCATTGTTTTGGTTTTGCTTGGCTCAGGTGCAAGCGTACGGTCGTAGGTTCGAGTGTACACACGGGCGTGTCCGAAACGGTCGGCACTACTGTGGTGAACTCATCCGCATTATCGGCTAGTCTTGATTTTAGAAATAGCTAAGATAACTTCGGCTGTGCTCTAACAACTCAAAAGCACAGTTCACAATAATTTTGAGGTACCCGTTTTTATTCGAGTAGCGGAAGTATAGATTGGGAATGATTCATCGGTAGTGAAGGAAGCGAGAAAATTTGCCGATTTCGAGAAAACTATGGCTCTACAAAAGTAGGGAAAATAGAGGTTGGA